TTTATCTATCTTTTTGTTTGTTTAATAGTCTCTGAACATATTAAATTGTAACAATTTTGATCGAATCATCAAACGTCATCTTTATTCTATATCATCCATTGCTAATATATATATATATATATATATATACAGCAAGATTAAGGAGAAAAATGATCTAAACATAAGAAGAGCAGAAATAAATGATAAACTGATTAGTGATACCATGGTCACTGGAGAAGGAAGGAGGGCACAATATATGACAAGGAAAGAGTAAAAAACGTCATGCACAAACAATCAATGAGAACCAAGAAGCAAAGCAAACGACAACATATCAAGAATAAGCAGGAAGCAAAACACCAGCTAGAACAGTTTTGTTCGTCTCATCCATCCATTGTGTCTTGAATCGAATCACAATGATGATGAAACAATAATTCTACTTATATAATCTTTTCAATATTACGAAATACTCAACATGCATAATTAATTTCGTATTTTGCTTCGAAAGAACGACTATTGTAAATTAGATGATAGCTCATCAATACCATCTTGACAATCTGTGATGCTACCGCCCAATAGCTGTAATCTTACACACTAAGAACAGTCAATCAACACATATTGATAAAGATAGCATATGTTGATAGATAAATAGAGACGTTCATTTCATCATCGCTCAGCAGTCAATCTATATATCAATCGTTGATACGTCTCAAAGAGATAATATACAATGAATGCTGTTATCAATAGGATAATTATTTAACATCTGTGTTTCAGTCACGTGGTAGATGTTCGATAGAGACACTAAATAGTATATTCAAATATTATTAGGGAATAGTTTCAAAGAAAATTTAAAGTCTTCAATTTATATGTTGGTTCATGAATAGATAATTCTCAAATTGTAAGAACTTTATAAGAATATATTTATTTATGTTTACTGGGATTTAACAAGTAAATTAGATTTTTCAATTTTTCATCATTTTAACTTAGCTTAGAGAAATTGTCAATGTCATAGTACAAAAGAAATGTGACTTCGGAAAGAAACAGATGTATAATTAATACATGATATGTTTTACAACTGAAACAATAGTCATAATTTTATATGATTTTAATATCATTGCAAATCAATGAACCAGCTAAACATCAGACAAATGATGAAACAGATATAGATCCTATCACTGAGGGAAGTAAATGAGTTGTAGGATGTTTCAATGATTGACTTATTGTAAAAATATTGGAGAGCTAACGTTAGTATAGAACTAGAAGAAAAAGAAACAAGAGACGAACAGTTGATCTGCATTCATCTTATGAACGATTGTATGTTATTTCGTTCTCTACAATTGAATTATCATCGTTTGAATGTTGCAAAAAGAACGACCATATCATTTAACATTATCATATGGATGAAGCTATTTCAAAAAGCATATCGCTAGTAATAATGTTTTGTTTTAAATCTATCATTAAACACACAGTTCCATCACGGACAAACTTTCTAACCATCATGTTGATACTCGATCCTCGATAATACAAACGTGCATTATAAAATAAATAACTATAATCGTCATATCTTGTTTCTGTCATATATCCAATAGTCATTTATTGACATTAACAGTCTATAAAGTTGTGCCGGGGCCAAAACATTAATACCTTTCTTGTTTTGCCAGAGTAATGACTGATGGTGTCCTCGGTACGTGTGCTGTATTATCTACGATACAAATTACAAGTAGAATAGTTAACGCCGAGGTTGGAATACTACCTCCTCTTCTGTTTTAGAAAAGGTAGTGGAGAGTGGTGCTACTCTATTATTACCGTATATTCTTGATAACACAATGGACGTAGCGAGAACGTCATATGGCCTACTGCTCTTTCAACAAAACAAGAGAGATGCTAGTGTTCTAGCTTTGCCGCTATATATAGACAATACTACCAACAATAACACTACGTTATCACTGTACAAAAAGAAAATAATAGGAAAAAATTTTGTTTATTCACTCACTCTTTTGTACATCCTATTCGTGTATCTTAATTCTTTGAATAATAATTATATCGCAAATATGCTTAACATCTTCTACTCATTGGATAAGGACTATCGACCTAGAAACTAACTTCTTAGTGCCAGTACAATCTTTATTTTTGTTCCTAATAGAAAAAAAGAAATACACTAGTTAATATATGACTTCATCAGTTTGATTTAGCATACCATGCATTACGTGACTTTGCGTTTATATCTAACTGGAACGTCGCTATGTTATTTTGAGACATTTTAGATTTGTGTCAAACATTCGCTAGAATATATTGTGTAAAGTTAAAGAAATATGAGATTGAACAACAATAAAACAATTAAAAGAATGCAGAAACAGATTTATTTGTGAATATTTTTTTTTTCTAAATTTCTTCGAATATTTTCTAAACTAAAATGATATCTGATTAAAATTCTTGATCGTTTATTGAAAAAATTCAGAAATTTTTACCACATAGACTATTGAATTAAACGTTCGAAATTCTGATTTAAGAAAATTTCAATAGTTTGATAAATATCGTGAGATTTAAAGAAATTTATTTTATATAAAGTAGTGCTTATTTTTTTTTTTATGCGTACGAAATTGTATATTAAACATGATTCACCTTTGTACACGACATACTTTTAATTACTCCGCAAGTTGAAAATATGATTCACATCATTAAATAAATCATCATGTTAAAAATCTCAGAATAGCAAACGTATAATCATTCGTGTGACACATTTTATCGGACGAATTTGGAGAGAAACGAGGGATACAAAATACCGATCGTCATATCCTAGAAAAAATTTTTTTTTCAGCTTTCATCAGCAGAAAAGAAAAAACAGGTTATAATAGGTGATCGAAAAGTAATTTGACAAAATGCGCGCTTATTTTTTAGTCTCTTAAAGCGATCTGCAGAAATTTGAAAACATTGAGTTACAATCAGAATTCTGCGTTCTTTCTGAATATAAGTGCAAGTTTTTTTGCACGACTTCACTTTTAGAAACTATGAACAGATCTTTTAGAGATCTATTAATTAAGTTCAGATGAGCTTCAGCGCGTCGAATTATAGCCAAAGTAGCAGTAGAAATTATTTCAAATATTATGAATGAAAGAGTAAACATATTTCTATCGAATGATCCACTAAATGATTAATTTGTTGTAAGTCATTAGTCAACAGTGAATACTTTGATAAGGGACACAATATCAATTTAAGATATTTTTCTCAGTTTCGGTGAAAAATAGACTTCTGATGTGAGCTCAATCATTCCTGAATGATTATTCTGAAAGTTGTCATTCTTATATCACTTTGTAGAGAATAATCTCGCCTTAAATCCAATGCTACAATATTGGTAATATTACGTATACAATAAAGGAGACTATAATTACAAAAACTGCCGATCTTCTACGTCTAAACGTATTTCTTGCAGCTCAAAAAGATCGGCTAATAACTCCTAAATCAGTAGTTCTGGAGAAATTTCTTTTAAGAGACTGAAAAATGAATAAACATTTTTTAAAATCACTTTTTCATTAGCCATTATTATCTTGAACTAGCTTCGAAAACTGTTATTTGGCCATGATCGCGGCTTTCTTTAATAAACCACTACTCCTTGACTGGTTTTCTGCATCCATCACTGTATCAAAGAAACAAGTTTAAATGTATTGAACGAATTAAATTTCGAAGCTTAGAGTAATATACCCTAGATTAAGTCATCGTCGGTTAGGATAGACTCAAACGTTTGTATCTCGTTCCATTAAACTGATAGATTTATGTATTGCATCGAAATTCTTACACAAACGCTGAAACTTTTTATCCTTGTGATGACAAATAATAAAATTTCCGTAGTAAAGCAGACTTAAAAAACGTTTCTGAGAAAAGATTAAAATTTTTATGACAAAATATTGGGTTTAACATAGCCAATGACTTCAAGTAGTACTTCTTCATTACAGATGAAGAATAACTATACAGGAAGCTCAAGTTAGGTAAACTTCAAGCTATTGAAAGTTTTTTTTTTTCGACAAAGTGAGTGGATCAACAATGCAATTCTTTATGTTTTGCGAATATTGTTACTTCACCTATGATTTTCTTTTTAGTAAAGTAAATTGAAAACTCTTCTTTCGAGAGTTAAAATTAAATAAAGAGAAGATCTTGCTGTGTTTTTTGTTTAAGCGCATATTTTTAATTACAAATTACGGTTTTTTTCTAAACTTTATACAAAGCAAAACATTAGTTCGAAATAAAAAGTACTGATTGAGTTTCAATTGAACTGCATGAAGAGTCCTTCCTCCCTCTTTTACTTTCTATTCTCAAAAATTCTGTCGAGGGTCTTACAAAAGTTACTGAGTCAATTGTAAATTTAAAATGTTCCACCACTAATATATTCTTGTAAATATTTGTCTTAAGAGAAAAACTACTCGTACTACTACTACTACTCATATATATTGTTCTACGTCTTTTCATTTCTGAAGAAATTCATATATATATGTTATTGACATCTACGTCTCATAGATGTCATCGTTTGAATGTGATAAATATTGTCAAGAAAACGAAAAAATTCATTTAAAAAAATGATTCTCAAATAAATTAATAAAAAAAGTTAATTTTTCTAACAAACATTTAATTTTTATTTTCTATAATAAAGAGGAAAAAATTTCTTTTGAAAAGAATTTATCATTGGTTAACAGACGATATCAAAGTTAATCGATCGAACAAATGGATTCGAGAATAGAATAAAGAAACAAATAAATAAACAGAAAGACAAAAACGTATATTTGTAGGGCAAGAATTCTTGTTCTTCTTGTTATTAATATTATTATTATACATCTAAATCAAACATTATGAAATAGCGTCTTTTAATTTGTTTATAAATATAAGTCAATTATGCAATATTTTTTTTTAAATTTTTAGATGATTATTCAGAGGCGTTACACAAATCATTAATATATGTTTTTCGTATGATCACCAATTAAATTCATTAGAAATCGTTTTTTTTTGTCCTTTCCTTTCCTCTCTTTTAATTAACAATGGCTGTAAGTTAAATTTTTTTTTTTTTTAATCCAAAAAACACTAATTTATTTATTTTTCCTCAAGGATTTTGTCTTTGGTGATTTTTCTGAACAAGAAGCAGAAAACTTGTTTGGTCATGATAAACAAGGAGTTAAAGTAAATCAACATAAACTATTATCTCGAAATCATCATGTTTCATTTTTTTTTTTTATTAAGTTTCCATGGGGTACAGATGATTGTGTCAATACTACAATTGAATTTGGTTTTGATGTTCCACCAGTAATATCACCATCGGGTGGTACAGGTGTATCTTATTTATGTAATGGTAGTTTATCACATCAAGAATCAACAAATTCAGCATTAACATCTCCTCCTTATTCATCAAAAAGTTCATCTATTGAAAATGTTAAAATAAATAAACAATCATCATCTCATAGTCGTCATCATAGTGATAGAAAATTAAAAAAAAAACGTCCACCTAATTATTATAAACAAGAATATCAACAAATGCTTGAACCATCAACACTTCAACATCATAATCAAAACGATATTAATGAACAGACTGCACAACAAATTGAACAAAATACAAATGATCCACGATATATATCATGTGATCAATGGGTTGATTCAACAATCATCCATCAACACGATGATAAACAATCAACTAATGATGATGATGAAGATGAAAATGAATCAGATAGTAAATATGAGTCTAGTTTTTTTTCTTCTTTTGCTTAAATTAAAAGATCATTTGTTTTTCTTAGATCGTGAAACAGCAACTGATACAGATAATGATATTGATCATCCTCAAAATATATCAATTAATAATAAAACATTATTAAATAATAATGATTTATCAGTTTATTCAACATCAGTTGCAAGTGGAGCTTCAATTGAAACCATAAAACCATCATCAGATATTCTATCATCATCATCAACAAAATCGAAACCAACATCATGGGCAGATTTATTTCGTAGTAATCAAACAGCAGCAGTGGCAACAACAACAACAACAGCAACAAATATTCCATCACAACAACAATCTAATCCAATTCAAAAAATTCCAACAATATCATCACAACAAAATGGAAGAAATGCTACAACGAATAATTTTTATCCTAAAACAAATTATCATGTTTATAATAGCAATGGTGAAGAATCACGATCATTAGAAGGTTTTTGAAATATTTTAATTAAATCTTAGAATTGTTTTTTTTTTTTTTTTGAATAGATTACTTTTCCAAATGTGAAGTACGTCCATCAGCTATGGCGATCAAACCTCGTGGATTATTAAATAAAAGTAATTACTGTTATGTGAATGCGGTACGTATATGCAACAAAAAGAAGTTATTTATAAAGAATAGCTTAATCTTAAAACAAATAGATAAATATTTTCTCGATGAAAATTTTCTATAGTCACATGAAAAATGTACGAACGGGTTACACTGAGAAGATTTCGAAAAATAGAACTAGTAATACAATGTCGTTGGATATTTCTCGTTTGCACTGAGAAATGACCGTAATTGAGCAGAGATCGCTTTCAGACACGATTATCATAATACTGTTTCCAAATCCCTAAATTTTTTTGGAGTCTTTCAGTTGGAAAATAATGAAGTCGGACGACAAAAGCATTGATTGGTCTGCTTAGTTTCTTTGTATGATACTGAGAAAAATGGAAATTCGAATGATGATTATATACTTTCTTGCATTTTCTATTTCTTAGATACATAATATGATTTGTCAAATGAATAAGTTGTTGTCAAAACTGTGGAGCGGATTAATAAGATAGTATCATTTTGAGATTGATTGAACGTCGATACTGATTCACCTTCCTCTATTGAAAAATAACCAATTTTATGTGAATTTATGTAATATTTTAATTAACTGAACTTCGTCGAGTTTGAATTTTCTAAGTTCGAATCCATGTTTGTACTTTGCATTGAGCCTATTAGCTCTGAGTTTATAGTGAATTGAATACAGATTCTATTGTTTTATTTTATCTTACAAGGAAAGTTCTTCAATTGATAAATTGATTTTAAGTCGAGACTATGTGTATTATTTAAGTTCAAATGAACAAAAACTATCCAGAAAAAGAGTTTTAGCCCTTTGTTTATTGCTGAGGAGAACACTGAATTCTTGCGGTATTTTTTAAAATAAATATTGTGGTAACAGAAAAACTAGTTTTTGCTGTTCTTATTCTAAAATACAAATATGATGATAGCATGTCTTGTACATTGCTCATATAAACCTTCAGATTTTGATGTTCTTATTTCAGAATAGAAAGTAAGTCAAAACACCCGAAACTACTCTCGTTAAGGTCAGTCTAGGGACAAAGTTTCAAGTCGAAATTTGAAAGTCAGTTTTCTTGTTACGATGACATTATTTCAAAAACCGCGCGAATGTGTAGCATCTTCTCAACATTAATCTAAGAGTACGAATTCTTTTGAAGGTATTCATAGCTCATGTGGACCTACGTAATGTATGCAGTCTTGGCTTAAAAGTGATATATCTACGTACACATCATTCAAAACTATGTATATGAAGGCTTCAAAACTTTGAAATATATATAATCGTAAGTTTGGTTGTATTCCAAACGGTTATTATCGGCTCTATATCTACATATAATGAATTAATATGTAATTATTTAATGTAGAGCAGAATTATGTCTGCCTTTTAAGTCGTTGAATCTTTCTTTAATACAGTTTTTTATCTAATGTGCAGTCTGAATAATCGACGATCGATGTCATTGAATTTATTTCTTGTCTCTTGGAAGTAGTTGTCTATCTTCAGAAGTTTCGCATTGTTTATTGAGAAAACAAAACTTGGATAAAATACTAATTAAATACTTTAAAAACGAATTAATTTCAATTTTTAATGCAGTATTAATATGATTTGTTTTTTTTTTCTAGACTCTTCAAGCACTTCTTGCTTGTCCTGCTTTTTTCAATGTAATGAAATATATTCCACTTAATGAAGATACAGCTAATCATAATGTCCCATGTATAAGAGCTCTGTAAGTTAATGAAATTCTTTAATAACAAAAAAAAAAGAAAATAAAGTTTTGTTTGTTTTTAATTAGTCATTCATTTGTTAATCAATTTGAAAAAATGGATCGAAGTAAATCAAATTCTAATTATAAAGATATTATATGTGGTTCATCATTTGAACCATTGGATATTCTTCAAGAATTATCTCGTCTTCGTCATGCACCTATTGAAATTATTAAAAGTAAACAAGAAGATGCACATGAATTATTATGTCAATTATTAAGTGAAATTCATGATGAAATCTGTCAAATTTTATATAATCCATCAACAAATAAAAGCGGTAAAAAAATTTAAAAAAAAAAAAAATGAAAAGAGAAAAGAAAACTAAATTTTTCAAAATCTAATTCTAGAAGAATCTACAACAGATCCAGATTTATCAACATTAACAGCGGATTTACAATTAAAAGGTGATGAAAAATCTGAAGATTGGCTTCAAGTTGGAAAACGTAATCGTACACATGTTCTTCGAACGGTATTCAAAGAAAACAAAATATTTTTTTGTGACTATTTTTATTTTATTTTAGAATGAAATTCGAAAAAGTCTTATTGCTGATATATTTGCCGGAAAATTTCGTTCAATAATACATAGTGCTGGAAATCAAAAATCAGTTATGCATGAACCATTTTTTACTCTTTCATTAGACATTAAAGTATGTCATATTATATTTAAACAGAAAGAAAAATACGTTAAAACTATTTTACATATAGAATATCGAAATCTACATCGTAAAACTTCATACATTAAGTGACATCCATTTAGAATAATCGAATGTCTAATTACAAGAGTAGAACTCTATGTATTGTTTCATCTTCGAGAAAATATGAGAAATGTCAAAAAATTTAACCGTAATTAAATGGGCTTTCATATAATTTCCTGTCTGATGTCTTTCAGTCACAAATATCATTTGTCAACACTTGAGCAAAATATATTGACCTTGGTACAAATAACAAGGACTTTGTTGAGTAAATCAAGTTTCATCTAGATATTGACCTTAAATTCTGATATGTTAATGTATACACAGTTAAAATATGTCAACTAAATAAAACTTTCTATTAATATTATTCTTAATAACGTTTCATACGAGGAAATATTTATTAGGTGAATATTCCAGTTAAATCCAATGAAAATAAATTATATGGTCGGTAGTATACATAAATGATCAATAAAAAATTTAGTTTTTCGTAACTATTGTGTTTATTCAGTAAATTAATAATTTGTTCAATGTTAAACTTAAACTATCACTAACTAATTCAGTTTTTTCATTTAAAACTTCATTTACTTATTAAATGAATAGTACTTGTATCAGTAGCCATTTTTTAAATATTTTTCGATGAAAAAATTTTAGTGTAAATAGAAGAATAATTCTTCCTGTTTACTAATGATGATATTTTGAAGGTATGAATGTGACATAATAAACTTCTGTTAATTGAAATTGTATTATTTGTATCGAGCTTGTAATAAAAAACATACTGAAACATTCATTGTAAAATACTGACCAATTAAATATAGATATGAATATACTTTTCATTATTATTTATAAATTCAAAAATATTTTCGCACATAATCAACAAACCATATGTACTGACAGACTCAATATTTATATCATTAGAGTCTATACATTCATGAAACCTTTTAAGTCTTGAATACCGTGTATTACGGGTGATCTTTCTATTAGTTTAATTTTTTTCAATAGGCTTCCGTGTTTTATGCAGATTTTCTCTTTCGAAAGGATTAATTAAAATTCCGGAAAAGTGAATCCTGTCTTCCGAAGAATACAGTCCTTTCGGTTCTTAATCTGAATCAAACACTAATAGGTTTCAAATGTGAAATCCTTAATTTAGTGGGAAACTTTCAATGAAATGTTTCTAATAATTAATTAATTTCTTTTAATCATCGTATTTTTTCAATATATATTTTGTTTTTGGTTTTTCTATTTGTGTCCTTGAATAGAAAAGAACAATTCTTGTTCTCTATAAATGAATATAGAACCGAAAAAATTTTCCGAGATCCAAACTGAATTTTCATAGAAAATTCAAATCTTATGAGAATAGCCTTGTATCGGACTCTTGAATTCGATTTTGACGTCGAGAAATATATTTTTTCGGAACTAATGGCAGACGTGTATCAGTAAAATAGTGAAGCTTTTTTACTTTTACATAGTAACGACTTTAGTCTTCATACATTCAAAATATATTCTTATGACTAAATGGTTTCTTGGAGTTGTGGAAATGAAAATTTCCGCTATCGGAGTCAAGTTTCGGCATCAAAAAGTGTTGACTCCGACAGGTGTTTACTCAGGAGATTTCATCCAATTCATTGATAAAATTTCTGATTATGAATTATTTATTTCAGGATCCAAAAATAACTTCACTTGATGAAGCTCTAATACGTTTTTGTGAACAATCAGCACTTTCTGATTACGTTGATAGTAAAAATCGTCAAAATGTAAGTCAGAATTATATTCAAATAACAAAAAAAAAATCATAAAAAATAATTCTTTTAGGTTCATACAAATAAAACAATGCTAATCGAACAATTACCACCTATACTTATTATACATTTAAAATGTTTTCTATATGATGAAGCTGATGGAATAAAAAAACTTAATAAATCTATTAGTTATACCGTTAATTTAACATTACCAAAAAGTAAAAACAAAAATAAATTTGATTTTTGTTTTTTGAAATAAAATATATTTGTTTTTAGGTATTTTAACAGAACAAGCTCGAAAACAATATCATGAACGATATAAATTATTTGCAGTTGAATATCATCACGGTGATCATGCAACGAAAGGACATTATATAACTGATGTATTTCATCCAGGTCTTCAAGGATGGTTAAGATTCGATGATGGTAATGTTCATGTTGTTACATCACATCAAGTTATTAATTCAACAGCTGATAAACTTACGCCTTATTTACTGTTTTATCGTCGTGATTAGAAATTTGTTTGTTGAACAAAAAAAACAAAAGCAAAAAAAAAAAAGCACTTTTCTTCTACTGTTTTATGTACGCGCAATAGCTCTCTGTCTCTCTTCTTTTTCTTCTCATCCGAGTGTATTCTCTTGTCTGCTCAATCCAGCTGTTTTTGGTTTTTTTTTCTATAACCGGTGTACAACCATGAGCAAAACTTATTGTTCTTCTTTGTTTTCTTTTTCTTGTCTTGTTGATTGTGGTGATGGTGTTTGTTTTTATTCTCTTGTGTCATGCACAATACATCCGGTTACTAACTTTTTATTAGTAACATACGTTGTTTTGTGATGACAATTGATTGTTTTTCTTTTTCTTTTTTTTTCATAGAAAACCTTCCACGTTCCCATTTTTGCGATTTGTTTCTGTGTTTGGTTTTCGCTATATGTCTGTTGGCTTCTTTTTCCCTCACATACAAAGCACATTATCTTATTCGTTTTGTTTTCTCTTTTACTTCTTCTTCACTATGCGTTTGTACATCGTAACTTTTTTTGATGATGAGCGATCAGAATAAAGACAAGATGGTTTGTGGCGCAACGGAAAAAAAAGAATAAGATTGATACTAGTTACATAAATAAGCTAACTGATAACTTGTATATCAATCTGTAAATTAAATATGCTCAGAAAGAGAAAAAAAATGAATTTTACTTGAAGAAAGCGTAATTCTCTTCTTTGATTGTAGAGCAAACAAGTATGTATCGAAAGAAGAAAATTAGCAAAGTACCTACTACAAATGATATAATAACAAACGAAATAAATGATGATAAACTTTTGCATGATCTTAATCCTGAACAAAAACGTGCTGTTACTTGTTCAATAAATCAATCAACACTTGTTCTTAGTGGAGCTGGTTTGTTTAACTTCTTTTCTTTTGTTTTTTTTTTTTTAATATTTTCTTTTATCAATCATTAAAGGTAGTGGGAAAACTCGTGTATTAACATCTCGTATTGCTTATTTACTAAAAAATTGTAATGTAAAACCGTATCAAATATTCGCAGTTACATTTACAAATAAAGCTGCACTTGAAATGCGTCATCGTATAAGTCAGATGCTACCAAATATACAGTTAAATGACATGTGGCTTGGAACGTTTCATGGACTTGGTGAATATTTGTTGTGATATCAATTACGAGCAAAAACAAAAATCGTCAATTTTTTTTTTCTTTTAGCAAATCGTTTTTTACGTATTCATTATAAAATGGCTGGTCTTAATAGTGATTTTATAATTATTGATCCTGATGATCAATTATCAATTGTTAAAAAAATTCTTAAAGATGAAATAAAGGAAAATAATTTTTATACAGATAAACCAAAAGTTATTGTTAATTATATAAATAAATGTAAAGAAGAAGGTAAACGTTCATCAGATATAATTCTTAATTATGAAAATCGTTTTAAACAATTAATTTATACAAAATATGAAAAACAGATTCATGAAGAAAATAAAAGTGATTTTGGTGAATTAATTCTTTTAACAAAAGGTTTATTTTATAATATTTCACTTTTTTTTTTTCAAGTAATTTATTAATAAAAAATTTATTTTATATAGAATTACTTGAAAAAGAAATTGATTTACGTACACATTATTCAAAAAAATTTCAATTTATACTTGTTGATGAATTTCAAGATACATCAAAATTACAAATGGATTGGTTAAAATTAATGATGGATAAAGATGATCAAAATAAACGTGTTCGAAATTGTTTTATGGCTGTAGTGAGTTTATTTTAAATTTATAGAGAGAAAAAAAGATTGAGAAAGATTACTCTTCATTTTTTTTTTGCGTTTGGTAGGGTGATGATGATCAAAGTATTTATGCATTTCGTGGTGCTCAATGTATTAATAATATAGAAGAATATTTAAAAGCACTTTATTTAGACAGAGAAAATCCAGAACATATTATTAAATTAGAACAAAATTATCGTGAGTTGATTAATGAAAAGAAAAGAAGAATAATGATGCTTATCTTTTTTGTGTTTAGGAAGTACAGATATTGTTTTAGACGCAGCAAATGCGGTTATTGATCATAACCACTCTCGTCTGTAAGTAAATATGAAGTATCTATGTAATTGCAACCTGACAAAAAGCCATTGGTAGATCATTCAGTATAATATGTGCTACAAGATCCCGAAAGTTTCGCATGAGATAAAAGACTTCATTTATATACAGATAGCATGATCGCGTTATTTTAGACAGTTTTTTCCAGCTTGCTATATTTCTGCAAAACCTCGAAAGTTTGGTATCTCGATATGGTTGGATAGAGCATTAATTACTCTATCGAACTATATATATAGTTTCTATTTTATTTCTTTTGCATCTTAACTAAAAATTTGCTGAGTAACTGCTAGCGACTTCAGTACTGCAACTTTTTTGTTTTTATATAAATGAATAGAGCATTTGTTTCTCTATTATGCTGTATATTTTTTATTGAACTTTTTCTTTATCGTGATAATAAACTTGATGGTTTTCTGAGATATTTTTTCGAGAACTTTTTTCATACAACTCTTTCTGTTTTTTACTCATTAACATAAGTCTTGATAGAGCGTTGATTTCTCTATCGAATCATGTAATTGAAGTCTGATTTCGTTGAAAGCTTCTACATAAAAGCTTCATTCTACGGTTCATTGCTGCAACGAAAAATGCTATGTGACTCAAAATTAAAATTAAACACTCTCCTCGAATACAGAACGATTCAATTTAGTACTGTATTAAAACATAAGTCTCAGGGATCTCTTCAATCTAAGAATAATTTCGTGACAATCAGATCTATTTTCACTAAGATATTCCTCTTTCAACTAAATATCATCGTGCAAAAATAATTTTTGAAGGCTTTTAAAACTTCACTGAATACTCAATTAGAATGAAGGATAAATCAAATAAAAAATACACAGTTCAATAGAAAAATGAATGCTCTATGTAACTGTATAAAAATTAATAACTTCTCAAGTTTAGCAGAAGTATAGTAAACCGAAGAAAACTATTAAAAATAACGTGATCATGCTGTATATATAAACTAGAAAGATGATAAAAATTCACACAAGTAGGCAAGTGAAGCGAAGCTAATCTGCAGTCGAGTTAATTGAAAGACTGTTAAGAACGTATAGGATAATATCTATAAGTAAATGTATCGCGTATAGAAAAAGAATTATTCGTAGTTGAAATAATTCATGATCACTTACATTCAAAGATATATGTACTCATGTTGCATTCCTCACTACCACAAAAAATTATCCATTGTAATATTAGATGGTTATTCATATATACGAGATCGTCGAACCGATGGAAAAATACTTACTGATTTTGTGAAATCGGGATACATCAGTTCCTTGACCATAGTTTCCCAGAGGACTTTTTTTCTAGTCTTGAAAATTTATTATTCTATCAAATTTTGAATAATAAATTTTTTCAGCTTTAATTGTTCTATCTGAAGCTGTTATAATGACTCATCGAATGTAGAAAACAAGCTTCAAATTTGGTCGCAATTTACGAGTTTTAAGAGAAAATCAAATCAATTTTAGCCAATACCATAATCTGTTTTAACTATTAAAAGAAATCAAAAAAATTGAATGAAATAAAATAGTCAAAGTTGATCAAGGCTGACATGAACAATAAACATGATTCCATGGTTTCTTAATACTATGGATATGTTACTTTTGTTGTGTTTACTATCTCTTGATATGTTTATTATTTTTGCGAAGTAGAAATTTGATCTTTTTATTTCGTACACAAAAGATTCGTTTAACTGTATATCAATGATTAATCAGCGATAGTCTGATACTTAAACAGTTGGCTATTCTCTAACCGCCATGGTACCGTCATTAAATCGCTGATTCTGATGAGTACAGCGGTAGTACGAATAAGCGTGTGACTTAAGTATTAGTAGAATTTTCGATTAGAAAGTAGAAAATGCTTTGTCCTTATGCTTTTATGATAAATGAAAAGAAATACAGGACAATGACATAAAAGTTTGACTTGTTATTCCATTTTTGATAATGACGAACGCATAGAAATGAATCAGAAAACAATTGATTTTGTGGTTTGTTAAGTTACATGAAATTGTGTAGTTCGCTATTCAATGTGATAAAAATTTCTCATCAATTTTGACATAATCTATTGTCAATCCAAAATATAAAGTAGTAAAAAAATCTAAATTCGAATAAGAATCGTTGTGTTAAAGACGATTGAATGTCATTCATTATCGTCAAGACAAAGCCAAATATAAACTTCACTTATAAAGGTGAAGAAAGAAGCTTTAATTTTACTTGGAATAACTAGAATACTGATGTTCATTAGATTAATGTTTACTTTTTACTATAAGACTTTTTGCATCTCTTCAAGCTTACTTCTTCTTGCTGACATTTTACTTCTATATTTAAATTGTCGAAAAAGAAAGAAATAGAGATTAATTGATATATAAAGTGAATAAGTATTTCTAATGAACTAGTTTTATTGTATGATTTCTTAAAATAAAATTACAGTAAAAATTAAGTCTTAGTCATTATAGGACACTAATTTTTCAGTTGGATATAGCTAAATTTTTTAAATTTATATATCTATTAGAATGATACATTTCTCTCGATCGTCTCAAATAAAATATTTCTTTCAAATGTATAAATAAAAATTTTTGATTTAAGTGGTAAAAATCTTTGGACTGAAATAAAAAATGGTGAAAAAATTGAATTATTTCAAGCAACTGATGCTACTGATGAAGCTGAACATGTTGCAGAAGTAATTCATGATTTTACTCATCGTCATCCGAAGATTCCTCTATCTCAAATTGCAATTCTCTATCGTACAAATGCTCAATGTAAATTTTTTTTCTCTTCTGTTTTTTTTTTGTTTTGATTATTAAAATAATCTGTTGTTTTCTTTTATTTATTCTAAATATTAGCACGTGAATTTGAACAAGCATTAATGAATAGTGGCATTAAATATCGTATTTATGGTGGAATAAAATTTTATCAACGATCTG